GGGAGAGCAGTCGAGGATGGCCCAGGCTTGGGACCCTGCACCCACGTGGGTGACATGGAAGAAGTTCCAGCTGCTGGCATTGGATTGGCTCAGCTCTGGCCTTTGGAGACACCCGGAGCATGAACCGTATGAGGAAAATCTTTCTCTTTGTGTCTCCTTCTCTCTGTAAATCTGACTTTCCAGTAAAAATAAGTAAATCTTAAAGAAAAAAGATGGCACTAGAGCATATTCAATAACCTATTATTTGCAAAATCTTACAAACATTCAAAGTAAATAATAGTTGGGTATTGTTATGGCTGCATATATAACACTGTTTGCTACATTAATCTTTTTTTTTTAAGATTTATTTATTTATTGGAAAGTCAGATATACAGAGAGGAGGAGAGACAGAGAGGAAGATCTTCATCCGATGATTCACTCCCCAAGTGAGCACAACGGCCGATGCTATGCCGATCTGAAGCCAGGATCCAGGAACTTCTGGGTATCCCACGCAGGTGCAGGGTCCCAAAGCTTTGGGCCATCCTCGACTGCTTTCCCAGGCCACAAGCAGGGAGCTGGATGGGAAGTAAAGCTGCTGGGATTAGAACCGGCGCCCAAATGGGATCCTGGTGCTTTCAAGGCGAGGACTTTAGCCACTAGGCCACGCCGCCGGGCCTGCCGCTACATTAATCTTAAGAAGGTGTTTACAGACTAGGCTTGGCATTGTGGCATAGAGTGTCAGAACTACCTCTTGCAACACCAGAAGCCCAAATCAGAGCACAAAGTTTGGGTCCTGGCTGCCACAATTCTAAATTCAGTTCCCTGTTAATGCTTAGCAGAAGAGGGGCCAAAGTATTTGGGCCCTGCCACCCACAGGGCAATCCTGATGAAGCTTTTGATGTCATCCTGGTCCAGTCCTAGCCTTTGTGTTAATTCTCTCTCTTTCTTTCTCTCTACTCTCTCTCTCTCTCTCTGCCTCTCTCCCTTTCCAATGAACAAAGATGTCGGAGGAATAGAGTATCCACAGACTAGAAGATTTACAATTGAACACAGGTTGGTGCCCCACGCATCAGATCTTCAGCGCTTCGAACCTCCTCTCTGTCCATCTAATCAGAGAAGCAGTCAGATGGGAGATGCTGAGCCGGGCATGTTCATGGGTGGGGAGGGCAAAGTGTACATTCAACTGTGGGATTCTTGGAGCCAACTTCCGTGATGAGGAGGGGACCCAGACCAGGGATAACGTGTCTACTTTGAACGCATTGAGAATCATTGGATGCTGAGCCCCTGTGGTTACTGTGCTTTGGCAGAGCTCAGTCACTGAATTCAGTCAAAACGTGTAAGACTCGGAGCAAATCAGACTCACCGTTTTGGTGTCAGTGCATCAGAAACAGATGTGTCAGGCACCAAACACTTCCCCACAGGACTTGCTATTCTGAGTTGAGATTTTAACACTCATCCGAAACACCTCTGCCTTGTGCTCCCCACCCCTTCTCAACCACAGAGCAGACACAATGTTTTGGAGCTTGGAAGCTGCAGACACCCCTGCTTGCCACACACTGCCCAGGGAAGGTGGCACTGAAGCTTCCAGATTTGGGGAGGGGGGTTTCTCTCAGTCTTTTCATCCCTACAGAGCTAAATTTAAATTCAACGCAAATAAACACTAAGAAAGGAAGCAGGAAAGAGGGTGAAAAAAAACACCTCTAAAGTAAATATATGCAAATTTATGAGCGTGAAACTCAAAGTTATGAGGAAAGCTGTGAGGGCAAAAGCAGTTTCCATTTTGTTCATTCTTTCCGAAAAATATAACTAGAAGTTACATGAACAAATGGCATTCTGTAATTACAGAGTTTATTTGCTTTAGGCTCTCCTGTGAAGAATCACATATTACCTACCCAATTTTTATTACTGAGAATGAAATTTCTTCATGAACTCTTTTTACCATTGTGTTGGACATAAAATATGTTAAGGGATACAATAAATATCGGCACGGAATTATAAGAACAGAGCGATGAAAGACTCCAACCTTTACAAGGGCAAGAAGTGTATGCTTAGTTCTATCTCACTGTAATTTAGAGCTGATTAATCCATCTTCCTCATTCTTCGTTCCCTGCTTCTCTCACCAGATCCTAGTAGATGACAATCATTTATGATAGCATATTTCTCTTCAAAAAGCAAAAAAAAAAAAAAAAATTAAAAAAGAATGCCTTCACAATAAGGAAATGTTAAAGCGTACCATGATTGGACATCACATGGTGACATATGTAGGGAACATGTCATGCAGGTGTAAATATGTACAATCTGAATGTGCCACTTAAGCAATAGGTCTGTGTTGTACTGTGGTTCTCCTGGGCGGGAGAGGGTTTGCATATTTATCTGAGGACATTTAAAGGAAGTGTGATTTTAAAAAGTAAGTAAATGAGGAATTCAAAATTTCTATAATTATGATAATAAAATTGAATAGGTTTTCCCAAGTAAACATTCCTGAGCAAGAAATTTTGTTATAGAGGTAACGTAATTTTTGAGCACATTGGTTAAGTCAGTGACGATACTCAACTTATTGAATACAAAAAAAGTTTATAATTACTGAAAAATAAATGTGTAATATGAAAAAGGCAAGTTCTAACAGGTTTCAAATTCCCTACATCCTTGTGCACTTTTAGATGCTCCACTTAGTTCAAAAAGAGATCCCAATACAAAAAAAAAAAAAGAGTTGAAAAGCTGATATTTTAATAATATACTAAACAAACAAAACTTGAATGTTGGTGAATGTTTCATGGCCTCAAATTTTGGGTCTCAGATTTGTTCAAACTTTAGCACATAGCAAGAAAGAGGAGCTTAGAAGTTTAATGAGTCCTGCAAAATTCTCTAAATCTTTTGTCTTCCATTTTTTTCTATAGAACGGAATCATTTACACAATTAAATAGCAATAGGTGGCAAAGATCACTCTGCGCGGTGTTTGTTCAAACATGTCAACCAAACCATGATGTCACATAAATGTTACGATTTTGGCAGATCAGGGGCCTTCAGCAGCTCAATTCTCAGAGTTCTGAACATCATTGAGAAACTCAAATATTGACTTGGGAAATTTGATTTATGGACTATCAAGTGCATCTTTTATCTTAGGAAATGACATAAAGGTAATAGTAGGGATATTTTAAAACCAATTTCACACGTCTAAAGAATTTGCAGTAATGATTATTGCTAGCTACCAGCATTCTGAAACTCAATATTCTCCTGTTTTATTAAGAAGACAGACGATCTTGCTCAGAAAGTTTAAAAAAAAAATAGAATGAAAGTCTCTCTTTCAAATAAATAACCATGACACTGACTCAGAAAACGTGAAGGACTTTTTCCCCCATATTTAATTCTGGTTACATAAGCAGCTTATGAGCACCAGAAAACCGACTTGATTGGTGATTATGTTTTAAATAGATAAACTCAGAGAACCTAAAACTAGAGGAAATTTGAAAATATTCTTGCTTTCCCAAAAGACAACATAATCAGAGTTTATGCCACGGGATGGTCTGACAAACCTGTGATGGGAGAAATGAACAAACTCAAAGAAGTAGTAGACTCAGGTCCACTTTTCTAAAAAACAGCTTTATAGCATTAAGGGGGAAAAAAACCCTGCTGATAGATTTTAAATCATATAACAGGAAATATTGACTGTAACGACTCAGTCTGTTTACCTCTGCATGAAAATAAAAAAGCAATAATGTTTTTGTTCACCAACATTCATACAAGCAAGAGGATTTGAAGTATGTGAGTAACCTCTCTGTGTAACTAACAACCATATATTTTATGAGAATACAGTTGTAATAATTTACTGAAAAGAAATGATGAAATACAGATTTTATGGCCCACCAGTTACATCCATTAAGTTGTCTACGTAAAAACGCTTATGATGTAAAGAGGTGAACAGTATCTAAAGAAACTGGCATATCTACTCCATGGCCTGTATTAGTCAGCAATTAAAAATGAAGTTCCACCATTTGCAATGAAATGGTCCCAGCTGAAGTGAAATAAGCCAATCCCAAAAGGACACATATCATATGTTCTCTCTGATATAAGGAAACCAGGCAAAATACAAGATCAATAGATATACAGCTTTGCGTGTATTTCACAGATGGACTATCTAGTGGAGACTTGCAGTAGACATCTGTAGATTTAAATAAAAGGAGGACTAACAATGAAACTGTTCAATATATTTTGATAATTTGAAATTAGAACGCGTGCCATTGTCTATAGCTACAATGCTATGATGCACTCAAAGGGCAGGATGCTGGATTGTCACTTGCTGAAGGACAATGCTATTGTAATAATATAAGGGAAATAGTGTGGGCAGTGGGAATGGGATGGGCGGGAGGAGAGGTGGATTGGGAAATTCCTGTATCTATAAAACCGTATCATGGAAAAGTATGATAGCGAGAAAATATAAAAACAGTATCTAAATATCAATTTGTATACATACATGGCTTGGGACGCTTTTACTGGTAAACACTAAAAAGTAAAATCGCAGGCATTGTTAACCATAAATGCTGTGTCATGAAGGCAGTTCTTGCGGCAGGAAAGCACCCACATTCAATAAGCAAAGCGTTATGTTCCAGTTGTCACTCTTACTGCACAGGTAGATATTTATGTATTTGGCTGATCTTAGCTTGTATAGAATCACCTTCTGATATCTGTAGCCATGATCCCAGTATACCTTCACCTGGTTTTTATGAAGCATTCGTCTATACAACCAATGTGTTTTTGAATAAAATTTCCTTAGACAGCAAAAGCTTTGGACTAGCATGAAACAGAATATTCTCACAGCTAACGAACTGCCAAAAGGCCAATGCAATTCAATATAAAATGAATGTATTTGTGCAGATATTTTCTTTCACATTGCTATATCAAAACTCCATGGTCAAGCGTAAGGAAAGAGGCTTATCTACACAGCAAGAGGAAGAGAACGTTAATATTAAATAATATTTAATATAGACTCATTCGTATCACTTCTTATAATTGCTTATTCTTACCTTCTATAAGTTTCCCTGATTCTTCTGCACTTCCTCCAGGAAGAATCTTGGCAATGTAGGCTCCAATTTCTCCACAATGCCCCGGGATTTCCTTGCCGCCCACAATTCTGATTCCTAATCCATTGCCTATGTTGAAAAATGAGCAAATTGTTAGTGAACCATTTGAAAAACAATAATTATCCTAAGTTGTAAGGTGCACAAAAAGTGGATGTGGTATCCAGAAGCTAAAACATGAATATTGGAATTAGAGATTTATACCAAAGATACATTATTCTGACCCAAATAAGTGCCATTAAACAGAATTTTTGAGATCTTGGTGTAATCAAGAATAACTAGCTTTATTAATAAATACATTGAATAAGACACGTACACAACCTTACTTAGCTCTTCAAGTAACATTGCGTATTAACATACCACTTACTACAAATGCGGAATGATTTTTCAGTAATTAGCCATATAGAAACGATATGGGGAACGATTATTATGGAAAAACTGAGATAAGTATGAATTCAAAACACAGTAAATGCTTTGTCTAATCAAATAAAATTAGAATATATATGTGTTCATATAGAAATACATGTATACACATGTTTTATGTTTGTGTGCGTGTGTATATATTATATACATATAATACCTGCAATTTGTTGCTGAAATGTCTGGCTGGATTTTAAAATGACAGTAATAAAAAGAAGTCTAACTTTTATTTTTCACGAAGCACTAATAAATTCTGTATTGAAATTCATTCCACTCGGGGATGAAGTTACCGCTTTTCAACTCTTCTAAAATCTTCACATCAAAAGCGGAGTCTTTTCCAAATCCTATTCCTTTTCCATCTCATTTCATCAAAACAACATCATCACTTGCATCTATACAGTTCCACCGTTCAATAAACAGGCACAATGAATCATGGCACGTTTCTGTCATTTATTCAGCAGGGTTATATTTTCATGAAACATAATTGCATCTTCGCAGCTGATGTAGTTGCAATTCGGTTTCCTGTATTCTTCGCTTTGTTCTTTCCTCCCTTCCTGCCTACCCCCAGGTCAATTTCCCCATGATCCTCTCTGCTTCCCTCCAGCCACCACCTCCTCTAGCTGCAAGTGCTGCCAAGATTTCACCTTGAAAAATGACAACAAGGTTGACTAAATGCTTCTTGATGTCTCACTGAGGTCAAGGATTCTTATTTTACAAAGATACCAGTTCTCTCTGGCTCTGTGGGGATTGTCTGTGAATCAGCTATTTCTTGATCCAGCATTACCAGAAGTTCATTCATGATGTAAGTTGAGTATAGCTAGATACACGTCTCGTATGTCACTAGGCCTCAAGTGTCTCTGCAAAGAATACCAAGAACGATCCCACGATGAGCCATTACATACATGTGAATAAAGCACAGCATGTGTGGGAGTATCGTGGTGGTGCAGCATGCTAAACCTCTGCCTGGGGCTCAGGCATCCCATGCGGGAACCGGTTCATGTCATAGCTGCTCCACCTCTGATCCAGCTCCCTATTGGTGGCCTGGAAAAACAGCAGAGAGAGGCCCATATATTCAGGCCTCTGCATACATTGGGAAACCTGCAAGAATCTAGGCTAAGTTTTTCAATGTACTCAAAACATTTTAGAAATTACAAAATACAGCTTTGCATATGTCTACTGAGAGTTACAGAGCGCTGACACACATTTTCTCACTGTTGAATCGTTCATGAGCTGTAATTCATGACTTGAGCTGTAACGATTGAACACTTTCTAAAACCCTACGATAAAGAAGCAAAGACACAATAGTTGTTTCATTTCATTCTATGCTAGTGGCTTCAAAGACATGAAAATACTTTTATAAATATATAGTTCCAAAAACTAAGTGGAATAATGACAGTATTATGAATCTAGCCAAACTATAACAAACTTAGAGTAAATATTTGTGAAAGGATATTTTGTAGAAAATAAAAAGGCCTAGAAAAATGACATGACTATTTTAATGGAGTACTTAGAAACATACTTAGGATTAGGGTTACAATTAGAAATAGGATTTGGATTAGAAGCGTAATTTTCGTTTCACAAAAATGAAATGAACGGATGCAACTTCTAACCATTTACATCTGAATATTCTGATGTTACATTTCTATGGTTGCATCTTTGTATTTTATGTTATATTTAACATATTAAATATAGATACACATGCCAAAAATATTTCTGTAAGCATGCAATGCCCTTCCTCAATTTACAAAACATGCTGCCAAACTAGACAAGTAGCATTAATTATAAACTGAAATGCTTCAAATTAAACAGCCTTTGTTAGCTTTTTTGGTCACTTTTTAATTTTTTTAAAAATTCCATATGATTCCATATGCACAGGGGTTGCCCCTTCCACTTTGACAAGTCGTTTTTTCCAACTTTTAACACATTTTTATCACAATACTCTCCCTTTTCCCATCTGGCTTCTCTTCTACCTAGCAACATCGTCAACATGCTATTCCCATGCCATGATAAAGCGTTGGTCTCGGTCTTGAGTTTATAGTTTGCTAGGGTAAAGAGGTATGGGGACTAATACAGAGAACATAAATGCCTCACTGTAAAAGAGTTTCAAAAATTATAACAACTTCACTGAACCAAGCAGCTCTAGATATGGGAGATTTACATGGCTAATTTAAAATGTAAAGAAACATTAAAGTATTTTGGGAATATGCTATTTGTAGAAAACAGAAGTCAGCTCATAAGTAATAAAACCATAAGGAATACTACAACCTCTGCTAGTTTTAGAAATATAGTTTAAATTAATTATTCCAAGTTCATACATTTATTAAAATGTTTAATAAATATGCAATCACAAAGTTGTTTTAAAATAAACCATTATTAAAACAATCATGAGTATACTTAGGTAAAATCTTTTCAGTTCCATTTCAAGTTTTAATCTAAATCAACCATTGCGACCACCTTTGGAACGAGTCAATAAATGGGAGATCTTCCTGTCTCTCCTTTTCTAGGTATATCTGACTTTCCAATAAAAATGAATACATGTTTGGGCCCGGCGCGGTGGCGCAAGTGGTTAAGGTCCTCGCCTTGCACGCCCAGGATCCCATATGGGCGCCGGTTCTAATCCCTGCAGCCCCGCTTCCCATCCAGCTCCCTGCCTGTGGCCCAGGAAAGCAGTCAAGGACGGCCCAAAGCTTTGGGACCCTGCACCCGCGTGGGAGACCCGGAAGAGGCTCCTGGCTTCGGATCAGCATAGCATCGGCCGTTGCGGCTCACTTGGGGAGTGAATCATCGGACGGAAGATCTTCCTCTCTGTCTCTCCTCTCTGTATATCCGCCTTTCCAATAAAAAAATAATAATAACAAAAATAAATCTTTTTAAAAAAATGAAGACATGTTTTTAAAAAAAAATCTGTGTGTGTAGGCTGAAGTGGGTGACCAGATGAATTGGACCCAGTAGTGGCAGGCGCACATAGGAGTCAGTTCTGGGATAGCCTCAGATGAGATTTCTTTGAGGATTCCCCGAGCTGAACTGCTGAACTCAGAACTCCAACCACAGGGAGAGTGGTTAGAACTGTGATACAGATGGGGCCTCCTCAGTTACTGAAGATGGTCAGTGGACAGCATACCCAGATGCACATGGAGGATTAGGTAGTCCACCGGGGCCTGCAGAGGACATAGGGTACCGCAGCAGAGGAAGGAGAGCTACTATCCCAGAGAAGATGGACAAAAAAATTTCTGGGCAAGTGGAGACTCCAGGGTGGACTGTGTCAACTAATGGACCTTGGAAGGATTTCCTCATCCTTGGATCAGTGAGATTGACAGCATGTCAGAACTAACAAAAACCACTTGAACAGAACCCTCAGAACATGCTACACATCAGGGACCCTGGGATGACATCAGGTGGCCGTTCCCATCCTTGAGTACTGGGGCAGTTGAGAGGCTGGGTGTGACTACACCGTTTAAATTCGCCTTCTCCCATCTATAGAAAGAAGGCTAGAAAGGTGTGGAAATAGTGGTCTCAGCTGCTTTCCCCTGCTTCTCGACCCTTTCCACCCCAATCAACTGTGCAAACATCATTTAAAAAGAACAAATACTTAGAACAAATAAAACTTGGAAATACAAGTACACACAAGAAAAAAAAATTGTAGATGCCAGTAGGTCTCACATTCCCATTTGGGTACTAGTTCCAGGCCTGGATGCTTCACTTGGCATCCAGTTTCTTGGTAATGCACCTGCAAAAGCAGCACAAAATATTTCAAGTGCTTGGGCCTCTCCATACACACGGGAGACCCAAAACCACTTCTGGTTCTTGGCTTTGGCTTGGCCAAGCCCCAGCCACTCTGACCATTGGGGAGTGAAGTAGCACATGAAAGGCATCTGTCTTTCTGTTCCTCACTTTGTCTCGGCAACACTGCTTTTCAAATAAATAAGAGATACACAGAGAGAGAAATCACGGTGCAGTTCCTAACATCAGGGCAATAATCCATGGATATTTTCTGTGTCTGTGTCTGTGTAAGGTTTGCCCCTTCTTATAAAGCCACCAGGATTCAATCATTGGCATCCCCCCAACTAACTCAATCCAAATCCATCTTTTTCCAAAGGTAATGCGTCTAAACTGAATACTAATCCAATTTTCACCCTCTTAACACTATTATCATGAAACCTTGGGGATGACTCTAACATGAATCTGGAAGTACAAAATATATTCAAATCATAGCAACAAACATTCTCAGTGCCCTGGAAGAAGAATGAAAGCAGACCACAAACGGGAGTATTTGGCCATGATCTTTAAGCAAGACCAGTTAAAATCTTGGTTGCGCATATCTGAGGCAGTTCTCTGGCCAGTTCAGTTGTCTTGGCATTTCTCCTGAGCAGCACAGCCCATGAGAACCAGAAGCGTTGCTGTTGCAGGGGATGGAGCAGGTGCTAGCACGGCAGATTAGGTGGGGATTACTCTGGCAGACTGGGAATTGAGAGAGCCATAAATAGATTTAATAAGCTCTGCACACTTCTCTAAGGAAAGGGAGACTGTGCAGCTAAAAGGTTCCAGAGATGTGTAGTGAAACTGAAAACCAAGAAAATCCAAATGCTATTGGAATAGTCTTCTCCAGCAACATATTCATTTCATGAACAGTGCTTCATTGGTCAAGCTGAAGA